AGGTTTGCAACAATGTCTTTTTTATCCACGAATGGCTAACTTAGCGCAAGGTGACATAAGATTTTATATGATATTATTAGATTTCTGGTTATGTTTATTGACAAAGTAGGTGCATTATATACACCCCAATGATTTGGTTGAATGGCAATCATAATTATGTTTTTTTTTTTCGTCTCTCTCTCTCTCTTTTGTTATTCTTTCTCAACACAAATCGATAACTTTTCCTGTTTGGCATAGTAAATAATATTTCTTGTATCTCGCCTTATCCTTTACCATGTTACTGCATGTATTTGTTTTTCTGTTTACCTTTTTATTTGATAGTTTACCAATTTGGCTGGTGGATGTATAAGAAAACACCTTGTTGAAATCATCTGCATTTTCTGTCAACTGCATTGCTTCTGTTCTTGCTGAAAGAGGGTGCAAAGGAGTTATTCGAAATTGTTGTTGCTAATTTCACCCTTCTCAAATGTAGGTGATCCGTGAGAATCAGGTGGTGGTAGTTGTTGGTGAAACTGGTTCAGGGAAAACAACACAACTAACCCAGGTTTGTTTGAAGCCTATCATCTATGTGTTTGTTAGACATTCTTTCTGCATTTTCTGCAAAAAATAAAAAATAAAAAAAAAATATTGTTCAGTAGTAGTGATTGTTGGTTCACTGATGTGCAATTGTTGGCAGTATCTTCATGAGGATGACTACACAAGCAATGGCATTGTTGGTTGCACTCAGCCACGTCGTGTAGCTGCCATGAGCGTTGCCAAAAGAGTTAGTGAGGAGATGGAAACTGAACTTGGCGATAAAGTTGGATATGCAATACGTTTCGAGGATGTCACTGGGCCCAACACTGTCATTAAGGTACAACTTTTTATATTCAATCTATCTTTTAGCTTTAGGTTTGTTCAAATATGCCCTTCTTTACTGTTTTTGGCTGATGGCTATTCGTGTAGCATACTTATGAGTTACGGCCATTAGTTACGGAAAACTGCATATATGGACATGTTCCGCAAAATCTAATTTGTTTTAAGCTGTAATTCTTGTAGCTCTTGTAAAGTCGTCTAGAATTTTGAACAGTTGTTAATTGCTTATTCACCTTTCTTTTGCAGTACATGACTGATGGTGTGCTTCTGAGGGAGACTCTCAAAGATGCTGACCTGGAAAAATATCGGTACGTGTTTTTATAACCCGTGCATCAACGTATAGACATGAATTTATTTATTCTTTGTTACACATCTAAACTTGATTCAATCCTCATTCTTCTTATTCATTCTTCAGTATTGTTGTAATGGATGAAGCACACGAGCGATCCCTTAGCACAGATGTCCTCTTTGGCATCCTTAAGAAAGTCGTCGCCAGGCGCCGTGACTTCAAGCTCATCGTGACATCAGCCACCCTTAATGCCCAGAAGTTCTCTGATTTCTTCGGGAGGTAATAAATAAATAAATAAATAAATAAATAATCCCTTCTTTCGGTTAGTTACAATGAAAAAGAAAAAGTAAAAAAAA